GTCGCAGAGGCCTAATTATGTTTTACCTATCAGAATTATTTTCATCAACACTTAATTTAGAGCGTGATGGTATAGGAGGCTCATTTTCTGTGTTGCTTGTAATAATTGTATTGGTGATTGCATTTTTTTCAGCCTAAAATGACGAGAAGTGATGTCTGAATGACATTCTAAACAACTCGATCCCCTGGCTTGAACATAATCTGGGTTTTCTATTGCCTAAACAATTTGATGAACTTTCATAGTGCCTTGATAGGTTTTGTAAAGCTATTCTGAAAAAGAGGATGTTCTCCATTGACCTAATCATATATATATCATTATCATTAATACATATATCATTTATTGGCATCAACCTAACCAAAAGGTCATTTTTTTGCAAAATGTGATAAAAATCAAAGATTTATGTATTTTTTACGACCGTTATGTCTTTTTAAGTAGCTACCTACATCGTCTGGAGTCCTTTTCCATGACCAGACTCTAAATAATGCCATACAAAAGTGTTTGTATTAAACACCGAAAAAATACAATTTCTGTGTACAACAAGTTCATAGTAATGACGATCACAGAATTGACTAATCATTTATAAAATCATGCTAGGTCGTGGTTTTCAAAGTTACATATTAATTTATACCTACAAGCATAATAAGTCCCCATGTCATTAATTATGAGCTATGGTGGCAAAGTAAATATGTTACTACATACCAAAAAAATCCCTAACCGAATTGACGGCCCAAACTTTACCAGAAACGTATATTACATATATTTTTTACCAAAACTTCACAGTTTATAACCTCCTTGTTGGTTAGCACACACAACTGAACTGACAGTAAAAAGCAGTGTAACTAGGTAATAAGAGCAGTAATTCAGTACTAAAAAAAATTTTGTAGTGTGAAAATAGAAGTTCACGGTATTGATTTAATTTTTTATAACACCTGTATAACGGCTATAAATTTTAATATATTAATAAGAAAAATAAACTACTATCTTCTGATGTTTATTGGGATGTGTGAAAACAGATACTGTGAGTTCGTTTTAATTCAAGTGTGTAACATAACTTTTTTCCCAGCTTTTCTGACGAAAAATGTGTTTAGAACAGTTCACGGAGTATGACCACGCTTCTGTTTTGATTTTTTTTTACAAATTAGCAGATAAGGTATGGTTACATTTGTTATGTTATTGGTAAATAGACACAATAATGTACTAAGTAGATTTTTTCAGCTTTTGAAATGACTTATAAATAGTTAAACATCACCAAAGAACAGTTTTTTTTGTACTTCGTATAATGACCCAGGTACCCATTAGGTACTTGCCATTGATATTGATATCATCAAACCACCCTACAATGCAGCAAATGACGATGTTGATGGTGGTGTTGACTCTTACCTGAGGGATTTTGAAGAGTCGCAGCAGATTGGCAACTTGCACGGAGGTGATACTGATTGATATGATATGCGTAAGGATCAGCGGGCGTCGTATGGCTGAATGATGATGATGGTGGTGGTATCTCTTACCTGAGGGATCTTGAAGAGTCGGAGTTGGTTGGCAAATTGCACAGAGGTACCACTGATTGAAGATATGCGTTAGGGTCAGTGAGCGTCGTATGGCTGAATGATGATGATGGTGGTGGTATCTCTTACCTGAAGGATCTTGAAGAGTAAGAGCAGGTTGGTAACTTGCCCGCAGGTGCCACTGATTGATATGATATGCGTAAAGATCAATGGGCGTCGTATGGTTGAATGATGATAACTCTTACATGAGGAATCTTGATGAGTAGCAGCAGATTGGCAACATGCACGGAGGTGGTACTGATTGATATGATATGCGTAAGGATCAGCGGGCGTTGTATGGCTGAATGATAATGATGATGGTGGTGACTCTTACCTGAGGGATGTTGAAGAGTCGGAACAGGTTGGTAATTTGCACGGAAGTGCCACTGATTAATATGATATGCGTTAGAGTCAGTGAGCGTCGTATGGCTGCATGATGATAACGGTGGTTGTGATTCTTCTGAGGTATCTTGAAGTGTCGCAGCAGATTGGCAAATTGTACGTAAGTGTGTTCAGGTCTTCCAAAGCCATCGGCGAAGCAGAGGTCTATTAGGTACTTGCCATTGATCTTGATACCATCAAACCATCCTCTAATGAAGCAAATGATGATGACGATGGTGGTGTTGACTCTTACCTGAGGGATTTTGAAGAGTCGCAGCAGATTGGCAACTTGCACGGAGGTGATACTGATTGATATGATATGCGTAAGGATCAGCGGGCGTCGTATGGCTGAATGATGTTGATGGTGGTGGTATCTCTTACCTGAGGGATTTTGAAGAGTCGGAGTTGGTTGGCAAATTGCACAGAGGTACCACTGATTGAAGATATGCGTTAGGGTTAGTGAGCGTCGTATGGTTGAATGATGATGATGGCGGTGGTATCTCTTACCTGAAGGATCTTGAAGAGTAAGAGCAGGTTGGTAACTTGCCCGCAGGTGCCACTGATTGATATGATATGCATAAAGATCAATGGGCGTCGTATGGTTGAATGATGATAACTCTTACATGAGGGATCTTGATGAGTAGCATCAGATTGGCAACATGGACGGAGGTGGTACTGATTGGTATGATATGCGTAAGGATCAGCGGGCGTTGTATGGCTGAATGATAATGATGATGGTGGTGACTCTTACCTGAGGGATGTTGAAGAGTCAGAGCAGGTTAGTAATTTGCACGGAAGTGCCACTGATTAATATGATATGCGTTAGGGTCAGTGAGCGTCGTATGGCTGCATGATGATAATGGTGGTGGTGATTCTTCTGAGGTATCTTGCAGTGTCGCAGCAGGTTGGCAGCTTGTACGTTAGTGTGTTCAGGTCTTCCAAAGTCATCGGCAACGCAGAGGTGTATTAGGTACTTGCCATTGATCTTGATACCATCAAACCACCCTACAATGCAGCAAATGACGATGTTGATGGTGGTGTTGACTCTTACCTGAGGGATTTTGAAGAGTCGCAGCAGATTGGCAACTTGCACGGAGGTGATACTGATTGATATGATATGCGTAAGGATCAGCGGGCGTCGTATGGCTGAATGATGATGATGGTGGTGGTATCTCTTACCTGAGGGATCTTGAAGAGTCGGAACAGGTTGGTAATTTGCACGGAAGTGCCACTGATTAATATGATATGCGTTAGAGTCAGTGAGCGTCGTATGGCTGCATGATGATAACGGTGGTTGTGATTCTTCTGAGGTATCTTGAAGTGTCGCAGCAGATTGGCAAATTGTACGTAAGTGTGTTCAGGTCTTCCAAAGCCATCGGCGAAGCAGAGGTCTATTAGGTACTTGCCATTGATCTTGATACCATCAAACCATCCTCTAATGAAGCAAATGATGATGACGATGGTGGTGTTGACTCTTACCTGAGGGATTTTGAAGAGTCGCAGCAGATTGGCAACTTGCACGGAGGTGATACTGATTGATATGATATGCGTAAGGATCAGCGGGCGTCGTATGGCTGAATGATGTTGATGGTGGTGGTATCTCTTACCTGAGGGATTTTGAAGAGTCGGAGTTGGTTGGCAAATTGCACAGAGGTACCACTGATTGAAGATATGCGTTAGGGTTAGTGAGCGTCGTATGGTTGAATGATGATGATGGCGGTGGTATCTCTTACCTGAAGGATCTTGAAGAGTAAGAGCAGGTTGGTAACTTGCCCGCAGGTGCCACTGATTGATATGATATGCATAAAGATCAATGGGCGTCGTATGGTTGAATGATGATAACTCTTACATGAGGGATCTTGATGAGTAGCATCAGATTGGCAACATGGACGGAGGTGGTACTGATTGGTATGATATGCGTAAGGATCAGCGGGCGTTGTATGGCTGAATGATAATGATGATGGTGGTGACTCTTACCTGAGGGATGTTGAAGAGTCAGAGCAGGTTAGTAATTTGCACGGAAGTGCCACTGATTAATATGATATGCGTTAGGGTCAGTGAGCGTCGTATGGCTGCATGATGATAATGGTGGTGGTGATTCTTCTGAGGTATCTTGCAGTGTCGCAGCAGGTTGGCAGCTTGTACGTTAGTGTGTTCAGGTCTTCCAAAGTCATCGGCAACGCAGAGGTGTATTAGGTACTTGCCATTGATCTTGATACCATCAAACCACCCTACAATGCAGCAAATGACGATGTTGATGGTGGTGTTGACTCTTACCTGAGGGATTTTGAAGAGTCGCAGCAGATTGGCAACTTGCACGGAGGTGATACTGATTGATATGATATGCGTAAGGATCAGCGGGCGTCGTATGGCTGAATGATGATGATGGTGGTGGTATCTCTTACCTGAGGGATCTTGAAGAGTCGGAGTTGGTTGGCAAATTTCACAGAGGTACCACTGATTGAAGATATGCGTTAGGGTCAGTGAGCGTCGTATGGTTGAATGATGATGATGGTGGTGGTATCTTTTACCTGAAGGTTCTTGAAGAGTCGGAGCAGGTTGGTAATTTGCACGGAAGTGCCACTGATTAATATGATATGCGTAAATATCAATGGGCGTCGTATGGTTGAATGATGATAACTCTGACATGAAGGATCTTAATGAGTAGCAGCAGATTGGCAACATGGACGGAGGTGGTACTGATTGGTATGATATGCGTAAGGATCAGCGGGCGTTGTATGGCTGAATGATAATGATGATGGTGGTGACTCTTACCTGAGGGATGTTGAAGAGTCGGAACAGGTTGGTAATTTGCACGGAAGTGCCACTGATTAATATGATATGCGTTAGAGTCAGTGAGCGTCGTATGGTTGCATGATGATAACGGTGGTTGTGATTCTTCTGAGGCATCTTGAAGTGTCGCAGCAGATTGGCAAATTGTACGTAAGTGTGTTCAGTTCTTCCAAAGCCATCGGCGAAGCAGAGGTCTATTAGGTACTTGCCATTGATCTTGATACCATCAAACCATCCTCTAATGCAGCAAATGATGATGACGATGGTGGTGTTGACTCTTACCTGAGGGATTTTGAAGAGTCGCAGCAGATTGGCAACTTGCACGGAGGTGACGCTGGAGGCGGCCCCCACCACCCCGGAGATCACTTTACGCACCGCCGTGGCATTGCAAGCGTACTCTGCGTCATCGATGTTACTGATAGAACCTGCCACAAACATACAGAAAAGTATTAAACTTTCATTGTCACTTCAAACACTTCAAACTAACATTATAGCTATTAACGGGATTGTTACCATGTACCTTGTTTTTAACGAGTCTCCGATATTTCGGCACTGTTGCAAACGCCATGATTACAGAGTAACTAAAGTAATTGCGGGTAGATGTTATTGGCAGACATATCGGTCTACCCTTTGACGTCGTCTTTTACTGCGATCGATACACCTGCCATTAAATTACCAATGGTCACATTCTCACTATTCATTCACTCGCACCTGCTTCCGACACACAATACTCACAGTATGAGATCGGTTTTTGCACATATGAACCACTGGATTCCAGACACTTGACAATTTAAACCCATCCTCACGATTGAAATTTTTGTATTTTGTTATTTCAATCGCTTCCCTGACCAATCTTGGTATGTAGTGGCGTTCTGTCAAGATGATTTGTGAATTATGGAGCTCAATCCAGTGATTAGGACCCGAATCGATTAAATGTTCCGTGATAGCTGATTTTTGCGTAGCATTGTTTCTGACTGCTTCTATGTGTTCTTTCATTCGGCACGCTATTGTTCGCTTCGTTTGGCCAATATACGAACTACCGCAGCTATAGTCGATCTTATATACACCAGATTTCTCCAAGCAGTAGTTGCCTTCAGGTGATCGTAGAAACTGTGTCACTTTTCGTAAAGGAGTGAAGACAGTATTCAGTAAGTATTTATTGACTATGCTCGAGATCTTGTCCGTCGCTCCTTTATATATGGCAAAAATACTGGTTGCCTGTCTACTTTGTATATCGGAGACTCATAAAAAACCAAGGTACTGGTAACAATCCCGTTAATAGCTATAATTCTAAAATATATATTAAAAGTTGCCTCCTTATTACGATTTCTATACTGTATGAGATAACTTATAAGGCCTAAGTACTTAAGGCCTAAAATTATTAAACATGAAAATAATCTCTCATAATGCAATGATTCGCACGGGCGGCCGCTAGTAATAATAATATAAATGTAAAAGTTTGTTTGTTTGTATGTTTGTTGCTCAAACACGCAAAATGGCTGAACAGATTTCGATGAAATTTTACACACAGATAGCTTATAACCTGGAAAGAAACATAGAATATTATTTATCCCCGAGAAGTCTCAGGTTTTTGAGGGATTCTCAAGACACTCAGGTTAACGCAGACGTAGTCGCGGTTAGCGGTATTCCTCAACATCTACGATAACAGTAAAATTAACATTTTTGTAAATATTTTCAGAGGGTAGATGAAAAGTTGGTAAGCTCAGACGTTGGGCACCATCTTGACGTGTAACCCCAATTGAGACTATTTAAAGCAACTTCACCCGAGCTCTCTGTCTTAGTGCTCTTTCGGTCATCACGTAGTACGGTGCGGAGCTCTCTCTCTCAGTGGTAACATGAAGTGACAATATTTGGCAAAGGTTTGTGAAGCACAATAAGGATCATGTAAGTCATCATTTAAATGCTAAACACTATGCTATATGCTATCATAGAATTAATTATCACGGTTACGGCGGCAAAAGATTATTCGATCATAAGAAAAACTATAAATTATCAAATAAAAATTTATTTGACAGCTAGTAACAAAAAGAAAGGAAAACACACGAGTATGAATTAATGAATGAATGAATATTCAAGTATAATTTACACAAAATACAAAAAACATTAAACACAGGAACGCAAACACAAAATGCGGCCTTCTTGCTAAGGTAGCAATCTCTACCTTTGCCTGAACGAAACCATACTATAACAATAGAAGAAACAGCGGGTTACTGCATTGTAAAAATAAATAAATAAACGTTAATATATATATATATATAAAACTCAAAGGTAACTTTCTGCCGTTTTATTCGAAGCGCGATTTAAATTTAACTTCTTTGAGTAGTTCACCGTTCCTATTCGGACTACAGAACATTACACGAAGTGAATTGCTTAATAGCGGTCCCAATTGCTGCCTTTCATTTCAGCACGTTTTCCCAGTTGACTCTTTCTCTAATTGCAGTGATAGTTCTTCTGATTTCAATAGAAAATGAACGGGTTTTCCAGAAAGGAACAATTGCATTGTTGCATGCAAAGATTTCTTGTGAAGCCAGGTAATCACAATCCAATATTATAAAGGCGAATGTTTGTGAGTGTGTATGTTTGCTGCTTCTTCACGTCTAAACGGCTGGAGCCCTTTTAATAAAATTTGGTATTGAGTTAGCTGATACCCTAGATTAATACATAGACTAAGTTTTACTGCGGGAAAATATCCCTTATAAATCTGATAATTGAAATTGAAATTAAGTCCAAATTTCAAAAATGGTGGAGTGCCTTACTTAAATTTTTTTTAGGTTTTTGTGGCTAACCTTAAACTGTTCTTATTGTTTTTTACGAGTGCCTAATGTAATCAATCACACCTTTTTGAGAAAAAAATCACGTAAGCGCCATGTTATTTTCTAAACTATAATATATAGCTGGCTTTTGATGATCTCGTTTATTTAAAGATCACATAAATATAAGACAATTGCTCTAAACATTTCCAAAGGCTAAGTAAATATAAAGTTATAAACCGCAGGTAACGCCGCGGGGCATAGCTAGTTGATAGTATATATAAAAAACCGATGAAGTTGGACGGACTCGCGCACGAAGGGTTCCGCTCATCATCTCACTGATGAAGTCCTTGTGATTTTTCTATGGTACCACCACGGGATAATATCCTTGCAATCACAAAAATAATTTTGAGAATCTGCCCTTTAAATTAAGAAATCGCGTAACAATCATGCTGCTTCTTGAAGTCGGTTGAAAATACAGGTGGCAATAACATTTGTTAATTAGATGAATGATTGGTCTCCAAATAGTTCACGGTTTTGGTTCGTGAGCGTTTTTTTTTCTCAATGACTTCGCACGGCTTGTGCATTTAGCCAATGTCAAGTGTTAAATGTAGGTATACAAATACTATAGCACTCGTGGTCAAAGTAATAAGTCAAGTCAAAGTAAGTGGCAGTCAAGTCAATCCCCCTTTCCCCATGTTTCAGTAAATGTGTGGGGATTTACTGGAACCTCCCCGTGGACTTCTTGACGGAAAGTCGAAAGACACTTTCCGCTATTTTGTTTCACTTGCTAACACTTGTGCATGTTCCCGAACACTTAGTGGTTAATAATCCACCATTATTAGACACTAACATCCGCCACAACTCAATTTTTAACAAGAAAAACAAAACTGCTAAAGTGACGCTTCCCGATCCCGCAAAAAAGTCCTTCGTGAGCGTTGTCATATATAAAGAAATTAAAAAGACAGACTGATGTAAACATAGAGCAAAACGGCCGACGCGGCCAGGAACTCTACTTTTGAATCACTCGTCTGACATACGAGTAGTAGTAATAAAAACCGTTAATTAATACAATTGTATTTTGTCGTTTACTATGCCGGCACTTCACTTAGCTATTCGTGATTGCTGTTTATAAACTTGACATCCATTACCCGTCATGTCATATTAAAAGAAAAAGAAACTTAACATTAGTCTGCCCTTGTCGTTTCATATAAAGCATGACAAGGATAGATTATTTATCGCCATCTAATATCATAAAAAAATGACAGTTATTCTATCATTAGCCTCCACCATTCGCCATGCAACGAGTGGTCTCATCCATTCCTTGCATTCGAGCGATTAAAAAATACGGAATTAATTATGTCGAATGAAAATTAGTAGAAATCGAGTGTTCGACGCAAGACGAGTTATTCAAAATGGAGCTCCAGGAGGGGAGTAGGTATTCCTTCGATCAACAATTCTTTACATAACGGGTTGCGTACAAAATCAAAGCTAAAAACTGTCTGCGTAAGTATATACTTATGTAACTGCATTCGATTCCCAATGAACAAAGGCAAATGTTTTAAAACAGTTAAAGTTGAACCTAATAACAATCATGTCACAAAGGAATAAAGTTACAAATAACAAAATGTTATTTCGCACATACGACCTTTTATCTTATAAAAAGAACAAGACAATAAATTACATGTGATACCTGGAAAAATAATGATAAAGGTGAAAACAGGAAAATGTAAAATCAACCTTATGAGCCACAAAATAAAGTATTTTTACCAGTCATTGGCCAGCGGGTTACTTCTTTTTCACATAGATTCTTTTAGTTACTGCGAAATGGTTGTTGGAGAAAAGTTGGACAGAATATTGGACCAATGATGTCAAATGTTCTTAGGGGAGGTTTGAATTGAGATTTTATTAGAAATATGACATTACTTATGTTCTTTATTTTTTAAGTATTTAACTGCTAGATGCTTAATCTTTTAATGTTTCAACTTTTCTTTAGATGACATTACTTTTAGTGTAAAGCATAAAATAAACTGTATTTTCCATGTACTTACTGAACGGCAGATACTCCGACAGAAACATTGCTTATGTGGTAGTTATTTTTGCAACTTTTAAATGCACTTTGTATCATTGTGACGCGTGTTTACATTGGCTGTGTATTAACCGAACTAATTGAAAATAAGATGTTACGCCTCAAGTGATTTTTTTTATAGATAGGTCCGACAAATGACTCTACCCCACATGATGTTAAGTGAAGGTGAAGTCCAGACGTGAAAAAAGCTGATACAGCAGTTCTGTCGTGTGAGGCGGGTCGTTGCGTTCCCTAAAAAATGGTTGAGCGAAGCGATGGCTGGTTCATGCGTCATGCTCGTGAACGGGTGCTGCCAGCGGAGATGAGTCTGCTCTTGCTTCATTGGATACTATTAACCGTTGTACTAAACTTTAATCGTTCATTTTTTTTTGCCTAAACAGCAGGACACGGCATTCCTAAACTTTGTTAAACCAGTTTTTCATATAGTCATAATTTTTATTATATTAGCATTTGTAATGGAAAGTGACTTTATGAGTTACCTCATATTGAAGTCATTTTTCAATTTGACGACTCTGTATACAATACAGGGAGAAAAAAACAGCCCTTGCTGAGTTTCTTGCCGGTT